GATTCTCACCACTGGACCAATTGGCAGCATCAGGATGGATGGTGAAGAGATTGAGATGGTTCACAGCTTTAGTCTGCTTGGCTCCACAATCAACACTTGAAATCTGCAGCCAGAAAATTAAAAGACGTATTGCGATGGGAAAGTCTGCTGTTAGGGACCTCTCTAAAGTACTCAAGAGCAGTGGTGTGTCTCTGGAGACTAAGGTGCGTCTAGTACAGGCCATGGTCTTTGCAATCACTTGTTATGCATCAGAGAGCTGGACAGTGACCCAGGAGGATAGAATGAGAATTGATGCCTTTGAGCTTTGGTGTTGGAGAAGAGTGCTGAGGGTACCATGGACTGCTAAGAAAAAAAACAGATTCATCCTGGAGAGGGGTAAGCTGGACTGCTCCTTGGAGGCAAGGATTCTGAGGCTTTGTCTGACATAGTTTGGTCGTGTTGTAAGGAGGGATCGGTCCTTGGAGAGGGACATCATGCTTGGGAGGGTGGACGGCAGGCGCAGGAGGGGAAGGCCCTCTAAGAGATGGATTGATTTGGTGCCTGGGGAAATCGGGATGAGTGTGTCGGAGACAGTGAGATTGGCACAGGACAGAGCAGAGTTAGCTGTTGTACATAAGGTCGCTATGAGTTGCAAGCAACTCGACGGCACATAACAACAACAACAACAACAACACAACTGTTTCTTATGAACTTATTCTCTATAATCTGAATCTTTTGACTTTGCCTTTATTTGAGGATGCTTCACATAGGATTAAGAGTAATTTTAGGACATTTTGCAGAAGTATTTTTTTCATGGAAACTCTGGCTTACTTGTCTAGTCTACCTCTTTTCACAGACATACACAGCATGGATTGTAGCCAGGTCAGACTATTAACTAGACCTAAAGGCACAGGATGTTATGGCTTTTGATATGTGAACCCTTTTGCTTAAAATTCTGTTCTTAACTCTTGTCTTCAGCAATCTTAATGAAAGCAGATCCTAGACTTTCTCTTTCATGATGACCTTATGTTAGAAGTAGAGTGCGAAGAGTTTATACCTCTGGTGGCCTAGAGATCGGGAGCCACACTGCCACTCCCTACTACTAGAAGCTGTTTGAATCCATCAGCTTCTCTGCAGGAGAAATAAGGGGAATTCCTCCCATGCAATTTTTGGCCGCTGAAAACCCATTGAAGTTCAGCTGAGTCTTGATGACAGTATTGCATGATAAGTATTATGGATTGAGTTACACTACTTTCCTGAGAATATAATACTGGTAAGTGAGAAGGCTATACTCTGTCCCTCCTTCAACTCCAGAAATCCAAGTTGTTCTAATGTTCTGATCCATTGGATCAACTAATAGATCAGTGATTTATTGAGGGTTTTTGGATGGCAAACTTCAAGGTCCAATGGTGATTAATTTTATAAAACATAATGATGAGAATGATTATGTGAGACACAGTATGAATGAGGAATAGTGTGAAACATAATGCATACAAACTTTGTAAATAAACCAATTTAAAAAAATACAAAAGAGAGTATTTGGGGAGGGCCTTGCAATCGGGCCAGCTGCTGAGACGATTGCTTCATTGGGGCAGTCTCCGCTTATCATGAGGAGATAGACGCTGCTGCCTTTGATTGGCTTTGGCCCTCACAGCTCTAAAAAGAAACAGGGTCTTGATATAGTCTATGAGCTGAAGTCCAAAGCACAGCACATTATGAACCAGTTTGGCCTCTCAGCCCTAATCAACCTCTCCACTTTCTCATCCATAAAACCCAGGACCAGCCAGCACCCCTCCCCAAGGCTCCATGGCTGATAGCACTACTGTGGTAAAGATACCAGGCACTCCTGGCACAGGAGGTCGACTCGGTCCTGAAAACAACCAGGTATTAACAAAGAAGAAATTGCAAGACTTGGTAAGAGAAGTGGATCCCAATGAACAGTTGGATGAAGATGTAGAGGAGATACTGCTACAGATTGCCAATGATTTCATTGAGAATGTGGTGACAGCAGCCTGCCAGCTTGCCAGGCATTGCAAGTCCAGCATCCTAGAGGTGAAAGATGTCCAGTTGCACCTAGAGCACCAGTGGAACATGTGGATCCCAGGTTTTGGCTCAGAAGAAATTCGACCTTACAAAAAAGCTTTCACCACAGAAGCTCACAAACAGAGTGGTATTGATCCGGAAAACAACCAAGAAATAACATATGGAGAGGTCAGGAAATGGACAGCAATGCATTTGGAGATACTTGAGCTGAGGTCTCAGCCATCTCATCCATGAAGGGTTTTTTTTTTTAATGCTTTACAGAGAAGCATTTATTTTTTATTAACAGTGCAGCAATATCTATAATGACTGAGAAGATCTGCCAAAAGGATAAAGCCTCCTACCCTCCCACCCCCCCAAAAAAAAGAAAGAGCTTGACTTCCACTTTCTACTAGATGCTTACCCAGGCTACTGCAAAATTCCTATCAAGGAGAGAAGAAATCCAAGCAGATTAGGCTGTTACTAAGGGTCAGATTCCATGACTCTTGCAAGGTGGTAAATGAGATGAGAAGTGGTACTGAACACACTGTTGGAGATTGTCTTGTTTCCATCATAGTTTCAGAGGAGGCGCTTGAATGGTGCTGCCCCTTCGGAGATGCTTGAGTGCTCAGGAATGACAATGACACCTTGCTTCTGCAACATGGTGAAGCCAAGTAAGTTGTGAGATTATGAATAATGCATTTTAATGCAGTTACTCTGAGTAAAGAAAAACAACTCTGAAAGGTCTGGTAAAAATTTTAATGGCTCTCTTTTATAAGAAAAAAACATTTTTAAAATATTTGAACTAAATTAACACAACACTTTCGGAAAGCACTCAACTTCTGGATTGTTTCAAAATGTAAGCACCATAAATGAATGTTTCCTTTCTTCCTTTCCTTCATTTTCTTTTATTTTTCCTTATACATCAGGTCATGCTCTTTTATACTCTTTTATTATGGCAACATAAATGCATTGAATGCATCTGTCATATTTGCTGTATGAAACAGATTAGAATTTATACATATAAATTATAGGCAGTCTCTTTGTAATTTGTTTATAGTCATTAAACTTAAGATTTTCAGAGATTAAAGTGATGCAGATCTTAAAATTATCTTAGCCAAGCCAATCATGAATAGCCCCTAATAACATGTTTCTTTTACTTTCTTCATGGATGTCATTTTTGATAGCCTCTCACAGCTCATCTGATATTTGTTCATTAATATTCAAGGTGTTGAATCTGTGCTTGAAATTATTTTTAAATTAAGGTGAGATAGACTCAAGGTCAAATTTTGGTTCTCGTGGATTTAATTTTATTTAGCTTCAAATTGAACTTGCATGCAATTAGTTGATGTTCCACAATCAGCACCTGGCCTACTTTTCACAGCTAATAATGAACTTCTTTAACGATTCTTACCACAGATATAATCAATTAGTTCCTGTGTAAATGACTATGAGATCCATGTGTATAGTCACCATTTGTGGGTTTTTAAATAAAAGGTATTTGCAATGAAGAAGTCATTGATTGTACGAGACAGAAGAGGAAGAAAAGCTGAGGTGAATTTCAGAAGAGAATCTGAATATTGTACGAGAACTCCAGAAGCCAAAACAAAGGGAAGAAATCAAGGAGTTGAACAGAAGATTTCCAAGCGCAGCTCGGGAAGACAAAGCAAAGTATTATAAATAAATGAGCAGAGAGCCAGAGTTGGAAAGTCAGAACTCACTTGGCATTTCTTAATCTAAAGAAACTGAAGAACAAATTCAAGCCTCAAATAGCAATACTTAAAGATACTGTGGGCAGAATATGGAATGATCCTTGAAGCATTGAAAGAAGATGGAAGGAACACACAGTCACTGTACCAAAAAGAATTTGGTGACACAGAAGACTTTAATGAAACAACGTATGACCAAGAGGCAATGGTGATGAAAGAGGAAGTTCAAGCTCCTCTGAAGAAATTGGCAAAAAACAAGGCCCTAGGAATTGGTGGAATACCAATTGACATATTTCAACAAAAAAGTGCTGCTCTGGATGTGCTCACCACGTTGTGCTAAGAAATCTGGAGGACAGCTACCTGGCCAATTGACTGGAAGAGATGCATATTTGTTCCCATTCCAAAGAAAGGTGACCCGACAGAGTGTGGAATTTATCAAACAATAACGACTGGACTAGCACATTGACAGAGAATTGCAGATGTACAGGCTGGGTTTAGAATAGGCCATGCACTAGAAATATTATAGCCAATGTTAGATGGAACTTAACTGAAAACAGAGAGTACTAGAGGAATATCTGTGTTTCATTAACTATGCAAAGGCATTTGACTGTGTGGATAACAACAAACTATGGCTAACTCTGAAAAGAACGGGAATCCCAGAACACTTGATTGTGCTTATATGAAACCTACATTTGGCCTAAGAACCAATTGTCAGAACAGAGCAAGGAAACACTGCATGGTATAAAATCAGGAAGGGAGAGTGCCAGGGATTTCTCCATCATATGGGAGGCTGGATTTTATGAGGAAGAATGTGGCATCAAGATTGGAGGAATACTATGCAGCACAGAGGAGCAATAAGTTTGTAAATTATTACCTAACTAAGGAAGGGACTGGAGAACATTATGCTAGGTGAACTAACTCAGTCCCACAAGGATAAATATAGTATAAAACCATTATTGTAGAATGAGTTAAGGATCCAAGAGGGGTAGGAGATGGAAGCAGAGGAATGTAGGTAGGCCTGGGGATTAATCATTGGTTGTACAATTTGACTCATGTTGCCTTTGCCCTGTGAAGAAGTGTTACTTTGTATTTGCCCGAATAAACATCTTTCCTACTTTTCATTGGAAAGTATGGACTCCTGTTGTTCTGTTTTTAGCAGGAGGGGGGGGGAAATCCAAATTTAAGGTGTACACTGGCAACATTTCTTGGTAATCACATTTAATGAGTATAGCAGCAGTAGAATTTGTTCTTTTGTCTCTTCATCTTTGGTTCAATACCCTTGTAGGAAGCACATTTGAAAGGTCACTCTTCTTTGAGCTTGGTTCATGCATACCTTCATCTTTCAGTTGACATACTTGTGCTTTGAATTCCAGAAATTCTTTGGAATTGCAGGAGACTAGTCCACAGGGCATGAATTCAGGGTCTGAGTTCCCTCAGTATCACTTTTGTAGTGTTGCTGCAAAGTCTGGAGTTGGTTCCAGTATTTTAGGTGCTGGCATCCAGTTTTAGGTCTATTTTTTGTTTCTCACTTCTGTATTCTAATAGAGTCAATTGCCACAAGGTCTGGTTCACCAAGTAATTGCTTTCTTCTAAATATAATATTTCAAAGGTCAGACTTTTCATCTCATATTTGGTAGAGTTTTATCTTTTAAAGAATTGGGGAAAATGTAAAAAGCTTCTATTTTATCCAAACCATTTCATAGTAGGCTTGAAAACAGTCATTTTTGTTAAATTTGTTTTTAACAAGTAATGTGGTAAATTGGAAAATGAAAATATAAAATCAGTAATGTTAATGTTTGGCTTGTAACAGTTATGTTTCCTTATGGTTGAAATTCTTAATATATTTGAAATGTATTTAAAAAAAAAAGCTCAAAAAAAGCAGAGGACTAGGGCTAGTTTTTTGTGTTTGTTGTTGTTTTCATCATTTTAGTTTGGCTTTAAAAATTGCTGCTATAACAGAAAGAAAATTAACCGCACAAGAGTGATTCCAAACCCACAGGAAAAAAAAATACCCATGAAGTTACATTATGCACATGGTTCTGGATAAGAGTTCTGTGAACTAAGTAGGTTGATACTTTCCTAATGTTTTAAAAATATTTATATTCACTATCTTTTCTTTCTACTTGGTGGGGTCTACTCATTTTAATTTTTCTTTTTTTTTTCCAGATGAAATCCAAAAAATTCTAATGTGGTGCTTATGTTGTCTGATTAACAAAGAACCACAGAATTCTGGAGTACCAAAATTCTGGAGTACCTGGATTCGGGTAAGTGAGTGATTCTTGGCCTTCTATGCTTTAACATGATTATTGAGAAGTGTTTTTATTGCCCAGTTCTGTGATGTTTTAGAAGCTTGTTTAAAAAATATTTTTTAACTATTATACAGCAATGTTGAATGTAAAATTATTCAAGAGATTTCGTTTTTGCCTGATTGGCCCGTAAGAACAATTTTCCAATGCCTGCAAAACTGAATGTTGGATGATTTTAAAAACTTATTTTAAAACAAATCTGAGATATCATCTCACACGAGTAAGAATAGCAAAATTTAACAGAAAAGCGAACAACAAATGCTGGGAAGGTTGCGGAGAAACTGGAAGCCTTGTTCACTATTGGTGGGAGTGTAAAATGGTGCAACCACTATGGAAAGCTATATAGCGCTTTCTCAAAAAGTTGTAACTAGAAATACCATTGACCCAGCAATTCCATACTTGAAATATACCCCAAAGAAACCATAACTGCCACCCAAGCAGATATATGCACACCCATGTTTATCGTGGCTTTGTTCACAATAGCAAAGAGTTGGAAACAACCTAAGTGCCCATCAACAAACAAATGGATAGAGAAGCTGTGGTATATTCACACAA